GGCCCTTTCTTAAAACAAATCTATACGGTCAAATTAAACCATTTCAAAGAGGACCTTCCCTTTTGGAATTAATTCTGTTTATTTTTCTTATACCTCACTTGTGATTTTTCATCAGTATGATGAAGATGCAGCAAAGGGGTGGAACTTACATTTAAATGCATGTGTTTCCTCCATCATCAAACCATTGTCACACTTGCTGCCAATTTCCAGCAAATCTGGACTTATGCAGACTCACTATTTAAGGGCTGAACGGTCCACTTGTCCTACCCACTACATGCTTTTTGGACGGCCCTTAATGTGGTGGACCCAAGGAAGAAATAGAGTGTTAGTGCTCAGGGTCAGTACTTAGGGGCCGGTATGTGATTTAGCCCAGGTCCTACGAAGGCCGCGAAAACGAGTTCAAATTCAGCTAAGAATTTGAGCAGGTCCAGCCTTCTCCGACTGGCATCGCCCCACACTCAGCACAAGCTCTGTCGCCTAGCAACTGTGAGAGTTGATGAGATGAATGGATGCCGAACTTCTCAGTACTCTTTTGTGTGCTAATTTCATTTTTAAGGAGCTTTGGCAGCAGTAACATTGTCACAGAAATTTCAGATCTCAGAACAGAAATAATCATGTTCATGTAAAATTAATTTCATTAATATCAGCCAAACTTATTTACAGAGGGACAGAAAAAAACATTTCTATAAACTTAACATCCTCCATGACATATCTGACTTACTAACCATTTAAATGAACTATTTTCATCAATCTAGGATAAACCTAGTCACATACTTGTATTATATTTAACTGCACTTACAATATTCACCACTTTCGTTGCCATTTCCCTTTTTGCCCTGAATAAGGAGTGGCCGGCTTGCTTGAACACGCAAGGAATCATGGGATACCCAAGGCTACGTAGGATAAGAAGGCTGCATTTGTCGGCCGCATATGAAGGAGTCTTGATAATTAAACAGGCTACGGCGCCGCGTTATGATGTAATCGGCCAACAAATCTGGCCTTAGGAGGACGCAGCTGCTGAATTTGGACAGAGCCCATCTTTACTGTTTATGCAATAAAAATTGTCTGTTGCAAAATTGCAAATATAGGTGTCATGGAGTTAAATTACTCGGCTACGAATCTTGAAAAAATATCTAAATATTAAAGCAATACTTAGTAACTTTTAGTCATTAAGGGTGCTAGATTTGTAACTTCTAGGTTTAGACCATGAAAGCAGCGTCATGGAGGTCTCCCTACATCAGAGATCAAAAAGGGTCATATTTGTTTTGTTTCTAAAAAAACTTCCCTTAGTCAGCGTTCATATTAAAGCGGAGCTCATACTGGTCTATAGTGGCCCGCTGACTGATACGGCTCATTGAAGGATCTGATCCTGTCAA